AATTGTTCGAAATTTTAACCTTAAAAATTGACGAAATAAAAAGTGTTACCTTTTCATTTTCGTTTTGGAACTTTTGTTTAAATTAAGCCTAAAATGACTGCTAGAGTATTTTAATCATGGCTGCTAGGCATGAATGACGAACATTTTTTAGCATGTCAAGTTAACGAATACACCAAATTTTAATTAATTATTGTATTTGCAATACTTCAAAGTATTAAACGACAAATTTAGGTTGACGTTTAGTGAATTGCATCAACTCTACAAATTAGTCGGCTAACACTGTCAAAGAAGGTTCTTATAATGTCATCAAAAATTTTGTAGTAAAGTAATATTGTTTGTAAGTAAAACAAGTAATCTAAAAAGTGGAGATAAAAGAACTCACAAACATGATTCATTCCATTCGTTCACAAAAATTGTCTCTGATTCCTAACTTTATGTGCGTGTTCGAAAATGAAATAGAGTAGAGTCATTGGAGAAATTTCGTTTAAAATTCGTTCGTTACCGAAATTTCGTTTCGGTGAAAGAGAGTAGAGCTCCTGTTCTGTGGCGACCTGAAGACGGATTTTATAAAATAATAAAAAAAAGAAATTCGCTTTTAAGCAATGCATAAAAATTTTTGAGGCGCGAGGCCAAATATCGTTGCGCGAGGCCCCTTGTACCGCGAGGCCGTAGGCGGTGGCCTACGTCGCCCACACCTTACGCCACCTCTGACGGCATGGGTGATATATTTGGTTACACAATTGTTTGTAGGCTATGGCAGCTACTTACTATCATGTGGACATATTCTCATTGTTACACTTTTGACTTAAAAATAAAAACGACGGGTTAAACTTGAATATTAACGTTGTGCATTTTTGGTATTTTGGAATGGTTAGGGAATAATTTTGCACGAATTGCTTTAATTATCAGTATAAAAGTACTATCATGTATGTGGTAAAATACGATATTTATTTATTGCGCTATCGTACACAAACATGACAATTTATATTACATTAAAAAAGTTTATCACTCAGGAAAATCAACTTACATGAATCACGTCTAAGCGCACTTAGCGACATCTATTGTAAAGAAATCAACTTACATGAATCACATTTAAGCGCACCTAGCGACATCTATTGTAAAAAAAAATGCATTTTCTTTGAAATAAAGCTGCCACGTGGACGTCCTAGATAGAGACTTATTATTATAATACGATAAAATAAAATATTACTATGTTTCGTCCAATATATTGAAAGTCAACAACCTTTCCAATTTTATTGTGTGTCATGATGCGATCAGCCCTCGTGTTTAACCTGACGCGAGTTTAACATTTTTTACCCATACAAAAAAAGTGTACAACGCCGCTAAAGAAGTTTTCACTTCAAAAATACAACTGAAATTTTATGATAATATAATGGTAATGTATTACATTATCATAAAATTTCAGCTTAAACTGATATCGACAAGAAACATTCTTCAATAAAGTACAGAAAAAAATAAACCTAAAAATTAGGTTAACAATTGTATTTTTGAAGTGAAAACTTCTTTAGCGGCGTTGTACGCTTTATTATGATATCATCGAGCTGATCTGATGATGGAGACAAAAAGCGCTCTATAAGCTTTGTATCTTTATCCATCAAGCAAGAACATGAATTGTTTTGCATTCGGGCCAACGATTTGCAATCTGGCATACGCAGCGTGGAAACAAAAATACATACTGAAAAACATGTCTCTATTTGTATTAATGTACTAGCAGAACATAAACAAGTAGATATAGAGGTGTTTATTGTATTCAACCTAGTTTATTTAGGGATCCACACTCAGCGGAAGTTAAGTGGCTTGAGTAATTAAGCCAAAAGCCAATCATTGGATAGGCAGACTTGTTATTCACACGTTTTCCCCTGTGCGTAACAGGGGAAAGCGTTTTTAAAATATTACAAAACAGTTAGTTCCGGGTCAAGGCATAGGGTTATTTGACTGGTACACTTTTACAAGAGATCCATCCATATTGCACGACTGTGTTTGTAGTGTAGTAACAATAACAATTAAAGTTTGGATTATTAAGATCTAAGTTTGAAGAGATGCTCGATCGACACTCAGGGCATATTACTACTCGAAAACTCCATCGTTATTATCTTAAGTTTGCAGTGTTGCCAAGTACAAGTAATGATTTTGTGTGGGGGGTTTTAATAAAAACCCTTAAAGTATTCCGTGAGAAGGTATTTCTTACAAAGACGTAAAATTTGTACTTTTCGTCTTGATATATTTTCAAAAGATTTAGAGCTTTTTGGCGTCTAGCTAGGACTGCAATTCGCCCGTTTTATATTATAAAAAAATCGAGAGTTTTGGTTGGGACATTGGGAGATAATAACTAAAACAGATATCTCCAATCTCTTGAAAAATTATTTGATAAAGCAACAATGATTTCACGGTAATTCATCTTAAACTGATTTACGATTAAGTTTTTTCGCCAACGCTCGCACTCGCACACAGAGATGTCAATGAAATTATGTTGAATTTTGAGTTATCACCTAAGATTTAAACTTTAGCAGTGGGTTCATTAGTATTCATTAATACTTAGTAGATTATTTTCCAGCACCATTCATGGCTGGAATGTCATAATACAGTTACAGTAGTCTTAATGTCTTTTTACCCGACGTTAAAAAGGGGGAGGATCTCAATTCGTCATTATATTTTTAAGCTATTGCATAGCTTTTATCGCGGGCTTTGAGCGCGGCAACCAAATCAAGAAATTCCGTAACGAAAAGAAACCTAACACCCCCCACTCCGACCGGCGTTGAAACCCGTGCATCGTCTAACGTCGTTTCAGTTCGGCAGACTTCAGCACGGTGTTTGCGTGCGTGCGTCCAGACGTATGCGTGTAGACTAGCTGCTAACTGCTCATAACTGATTCTATCTCTTGTAGACAAAAATATTTTAAACAATATTAACTTCTCATTATTCAATAAAAGAAAAAAAAACGTTTTCTTATCGGTCACCACGCTCAAAAAGTGTAATTAATACCAAAGAAAAAAATACTGTATTAATAAAATAAATAAATAATTATAATTGCATAAGTTGATAAAAAAATGCTATGCAATAGCTTTACCGCGGCAGTCCCCGAGTGCCACACGTATTTTTTTATTGTTATTCGCGCATATCTTCGATGTTTGTTGACCGATTTTGATGTTTTTTTTCGAAGAAATGGTCACATTTTATTTTGGTAGAGATCTAATAAATACTTTCAGCGATATACAACGGAACTCCTCAAAAAACGGACAGTATACATATAAAGTAAAGAAAAAGATGTAAGTAATAAGTATAAGTACACATATCGTGTTTGGTTACCTATTTTACGAAATATGAAAGAGAGATTGCAGGCTTGTCGCCATAGCATGAGCACCAAAATTTACAATATATCATGTTTTTTATCGCATCTAACTGTCAAACTCTAATTTTACCCTAGTATGAGCACCACAATATGATATATAACGCGTAAAAAAACGCGTTATATATCATATTGTGGTGCTCATACTAGGGGGGGCAGATATCTATGTTTAGTAAGTTGATGTTGCTCTGGCATAAAAAAAGAGAAAAATAAATACTTTATTAATAGAAAATAAAAACCGACCTCATAAAAAGAAAACCTAGACCTATTATGTAAATATTGTAATCATAGATGAATGATTGGTCTCGCTTCAGTCGTCGCGAGACCAATCATTCATCTATGATTGTAATGTATTACTTCTTAATTTTTTGGTGGTTTTGTTTTTATGAAATCAGTTAACATTTTTTTGTTAAAAAAGATTCTCTATTTAATTTGCGTATAGATGATGTTATTAAACTAATTTATTTTAGTTGTTACTAGCGGACCCTTTCTTAATCCTTAGAACCCGCAATGTGTTTATAAATCTACCTCGCTAATTTAAATGTTCAACATTTATTCAAGGGTGAGCTTCATTGGGTCGTGAGTCGCAGACATTGTAGTCTACTGAATTAGTAATGAGCAAAATTGCGAATTTTTAGTTTTGTTGCCTAAATTAAGAAGTAATATATTACAATCATTCATCTATGATTGTAATGTATTACTTCTTAATTTTTTGGTGGTTTTGTTTTTATGAAATCAGTTAACATTTTTTTCTTAAAAAAGATTCTCTATTTAATTTGCGTATAGATGATGTTATTAAACTAATTTATTTACGTTGTTACTAGCGGACCCTTTCTTAATCCTTAGAACCCGCAAAGTGTTTATAAATCTACCTCGCTAATTTAAATGTTCAACATTTATTCAAGGGTGAGCTTCATTGGGTCGCGAGTCGCAGACATTGTAGTCTACTGAATTAGTAATGAGTAACATTGCGAATTTTTAGTTTTGTTGCCTAAATTACATTATTAATATCCCGAGCTAGGTATGTAGTTACATCGACACTTGGTAAAACTAGATAATTTGCGGTTTACTACACGCGTCTATAGGCTATTGTGGCTGCTTATCATCAGACAGTCCTTAAATTACAGAACAAAAGGCAGATGGAATGGAGCACACGGTACACACTACAGAGATTGCGTGCGACACAAAGCAAATGTCAAGCCCAAAGTAAAGACTTTTTTGTCTTTGTTAACAGTTTTTATGGTGTTTAAACAAGGCGGCACAGTACACATACAAAAATTTTATGTAGTAAAAGTAGTGTAGTGACGCGAGTTGACACTCGCTTTTGACTTGATATTTGCTTTGGTGGCAAGTACCGTGCGCTCCATCTGCCTTTAGTTCTGTAATCTCAGAGGCAGGCCATATGCCTGTTAAAACTTAACCCTATTTACAAAACAACAAAAAAAAAAAAGTATTTCAAAATAGGGCCGTAGCCAGCTGTAATTACAGGTAGGGCATAAGCTGGAGCGTGTCGCCCGTCGCAGCCAACAGCCTCGTTTTAAGGTAGGGCAATGATATTTTTGGGTAGGGCTTTGCTCTATAATGCCTCCCCCTAGCCTACAGCCCTGTTTCAAAAGTCAGCCATCAAGCTTACCTGTACCAGAGACGTTTTCTTGTCGTCTGACTTGGAACACCTTATGTCGGGGAGGTCCCCTATTACCCTCTTGTATTTCAGCAACAGTCCTTGAAATCGCGGTATGAAGTGGCAGTCACACCTCCAAGGGTTATGGCCGAGGTATACGTGCATTATGTTGTTGTTGACTTGAAGCGCCTTGTCGAAGGCGTACACGGGGATCTAGGGACAAATATATTTTATAATGTAGCAGCTTGACATTGACATTAGGTATTTGCACAAGGGGCGTATTTTAAAATCTGGCGCTCCAGGCCACGTACGATTTGGAACTCCCCCTAGAATTAGTAAATCAAATCAAAATATAGGTCACTACCGACTGCCTTTATACATATGTCTTCTGCTGCCCTTCGCAGCTGTTGTACCCACCCCTCGCAGCCAGCCGCCACAGGTCAAGGCCCGTTTGGCCCTAGGGTAAATACGTCCCTGATTGCATCATATATATATATATATATATATATATATATATATATATATATATATATATATATAATTTTACCTTTATCCGGTCAAATCGTATGAAAACCAATCTTGTATTTGGCAAATAGTCAAGGACGATGGATCTTGGTTGGATGCCACCAAAAACTTCGTAACACCATTCACTAGAACCTGGAGCTCTACTCTCTTTCTCCGAAACGAAATTTCGGCAACGAACGAATTTTAAACGAAATTTCGCCAGTGACTCTACTCTATTTCATCTTCGAACACGCACATAAAGTTCGGAATCACAGACAGTTATCGTGAACAAATGGAATGAGTTATGTTAGTGAGTTCTTTTTGTCTATATTTTTTAGATAACGTTTTTTACTTCAAAACAATATTACTTTATGACAACATTTTTGATTACATTAAAACAACCTCTTTTGACCACTGTCTACAAATTAGTCAGCTAACACTTTAGCTGACTAAGTTGTAGAGTTGATGCAATCGAATGTATGTCAACCTAAATTTGTCGTTTAATACTTTGAAGTATCGAAATTACAATAAATAATAAAAAATGGTTTATTTGTTAATTTTACATGCTAAAAATGTTTCTCGAGCTAAACAGCTATTATTAAAAATACACTTGCAAGTATTTTAGGCTTAATTAAAACAAAATCTCAAAACGAAAATGAAAAGGTAACACTTTTCATTTCGTGAATTTGAGGTTAAAATTTCGAACTTTTCCTTCGAAAGTTTTGTGAATTAGAGTAGGCTTGGAGAATTTAATTGTCAAACTATTTCGGACGAACGAATTTTCGAAACGAAACGGAAACAGAGTAAGGAACGTGCGAAATTTCGATCGTAATTTCGTTTTTCGTTGAAATAGAGTGGGCCTCCAGTTCTAAGGTCTTCTAGTACAACCAGTAATAGCAGTGCTAATCTGAACAAACTCACTTTTCACCACGGTTCTCGCCGGTGTGGTTTGAAATTTATTTCAAACTAGCGGCCCGCCCTCGCTTCGCTTCGGTGTAGAGCTGAAGCGTAGACTACAGTTTTTGTTCTCAGGCTTGTTTTATACACAATGACATTCATCTATGATTATTCTTATATCTGCATGCAAAGTCTCAGCCCGTTCGGTTTTAAAATTGACAAAGTTTCATACAAACTTTCATTCCTTATTTTATCCCCTTGGGGGTAGAATTGATCAAAATCCTTTCTTAGCGGATGCCTACGTCATAACATCTACCTGCATGCCAAATTTCAGCCCGATCCGTCCAGTGGTTTGGGCTGGGCGTTGATAGATTACTACGTCAGTCAGTCACCTTTGAGTTTTATATATATAGATTATAAAAAAACTGAAGATGGTATATTTATCATTTCCAAACTTCTATTGACATCACGTCGCTCAATTGTTTTGCCTTCCCAGAATCTCTCCACTAACATTGGAAATTTATGGTATGGTATTAAAGTTCAAATTGACTTTTAAGTATTATTACGAATCGTTTGTATGGGAGTAAAGAAAAGTATTGTTTTTTGACATTTTCAGGCATTTTTTAAATTTTTTCTCTTCGTAAGAACCATCCTCGTATTTCAAGGAATATTCTAAAAAAAATCTGCCAAATCGGTCAAGCCGTTTTCATGTTATGTCGTGACAACGGAAAACGGGTTTCATTTTTATATATATAGATTCGTGTTCTAATTTTAAGTCGCGGATTCCGAGGTGAAAAGTAAGTTTGTTCTTATAGAATAGCACTGCCGAAGGTCTGTCACTGTCTTTATTTGTTTTTGAATTATTTACTTTTTAGTCTAAGATCCGAACCTAAATAGTCCTTTACCGAGCTCGTAATAGAAAGAAACAGAAGAATTTCAAAAATATCACGCACTATTCATCATTTTGTAAATACGTATAATAATTCCATCTGTACTAAAATCACTATTCCAGAGTGCTGGACACTTACCGGCATTTCTCTTTATTCGGTTATTTATATATTTTCTTTATTTTTCTGCGATTTTATCTATTTTTAGTTTATTTATTTTCTTAACATTTGTGACCGTCCCATTTAATGTTTTTTTATCCGTTGCCATGGCTACCCATGACATGACACTCTCTCCAACTACGTTTATGCCTATTCAACCTCCACAGACCACCTATTTTGATTATTTTTAGTTCGATTCGAACCGTGTCTAAAAAATGGTTCCGGACCTATAAAAGGCCGAGCCTCCCTGATCATTCATTCATTTCTTCGGCAAAAGTTGTCATAATAACTTTTGTTAGCTCGCTACCGAGCTCTAAATTAATAAAAGGCCTTGTCCCGGGGCCGACTGCCCCGGGACTCGAGAAAGACCTCAAAGCTCTACAGCACCTATTGGCTCTCTAAACTTAACTACTTAACTCTAAACTTCACTTCACCATACTCGCAACCTCATCGGTGGGACTGCCGCCTGGACTCCAGCTACCTCGGCCAGCCTCCAACTGCTTCGCCCCGCCTTCCACCGACACCTGCCGTTCCTGCCACCGGCCGATATCCGCAGGCCAACCTGCCAGCAGTGCTCGCCAACCACCACCAGGGCAGGCCAAGTATCGAGAGACGCCGGAACAGGAGCGCTTCTGCCTCCCAGGAGTGCCGCTCGTCTGCCAGCAACACGTCCTCCAGACCCTCAAGCCACAATGGAGAAGATTTCCGACGACTCACGCTCACTTCACCACTTCCACTTTACACCCTACACTTCACACACACACACCATACCCCTATTTTTTTATATTGTTAATTGTAAATACTTTATTTCTTGTAAATATATATATCCTATACTGTTCTTCTGATTTTCCTTTACTCTTTTTTTCCTATCTATTTATTTTATCGCTACACGACAAGGTTTGTCTGCAAAAAATAGGTCCAATTAGGGGTTTGCGAATTTCAAAGATTTAAAATGAGTGACATAGAGATCAAAATTTCGATTTGATCGTTTCAGTAGATTCCGAGCAAATAGACTGTGATAGACAGACAACCGAGTGATCCTATAAGAGTAATTCCGGTTTTGCCAATTGAGCTACGGAACCCTAAATATAATATTTTTATTGTTGTACAATTTGACATATTTACAATTTTTGTTTGTTCAGTCATAAATAATAATAAATAGTTAAGTTAACAATACACCCCAGAGTATCTGGTAATACATATAGGTAATGTCTCATATTTCATAATTAATTATACTATACATAACATAGAAAGGTTTCGAAACCTTGCTTCTTTCAGCCTGTTTTTAGGGTTACCTCTAAAGGAAAAAACGGAACCCTTATAGGATTACTTTGTTCCCGTCCGTCCGTTTGTAAAGACCCTTTTTCTCAGAAACGCGTGAAGGTATCAAACTGAAATTTATATCAAATACTCAGGTCTACTGTCCCTTAGAGCTGTAAAAAATGAAACTTCTAAGCCAACTCAATCAAATGATACAGCCATTTATGACGCAAATTTTCGAAACTCGCAAGGGAATCAAAACCTACAGCGTACTTCCCGTGAACTCAGAGTCTTGAAATTTAGTACGAAGCAACGTCTTATAGCACAGATAAAGCAAAAATTGCGAAAACCGTAAATATACCTACAGGTTTGTACGGAACCCTCGGTGCGCGAGTCCGATTCGCACTTGGCCGGTTTTTTAATGTTATCTGGAATTAAGTATAGTTACTCAAAAATAACGCACAATGTTATGGAGGGTAGTAGAGGTACCTCTACCCTCCATAGTTTACATACCGAACATGCGCACTTTCTAATATGCATAGGATCCCGTCACAGGCGTCCTTTATTATTATACAGTATACTTACCTCGGATCACACTGTCAAAAAAGAACATTGCTCTGCGTCCATACATAGTTAGCCTAAGAACCAACAATCATGAAATATTATTTTCTAGGTTCGAAATCGCAAGTAAACGACTGTAAAAACAAAGATTATTGACGGACACTTCTGAGAATTTAATTATTAATTAGGAAAACTAAAATATTTTTGAGGTTATGTTTAATATTCAATGAAACAGGTCAACCTATGAACTTAGTATGAAGTGAATTAATATTACAACTAATTCATTTTATTCAGTGCGATTTTAAAGAATAGCTATTAGGAAAAACTTGGTTAGGTAGGAATCATGAATAAAATAAAAACAATAGGTTTGCTTCTTATTATTTATTGACTATTTTTCACATAATTTTATCATATTGTATTTATTTGTTTAACACATGTATATTGTGTAAATATGCAGCGTGAATGTGTATCAGGTGCTCTTGAATAATTTGGCAGCATGATCCTCTCAGAATGTTGTGGCACAGGTTCACTAGCACTTGGTAATAAGGTCTCTGCACTTTGGTATGTTACGATGGCATATTAGATAGCCGAAATAGTAATAGTTAAATTAAAGGAAAAACAATCGCAAATAAACACACACAACAGATAATCCAAACGAGAATTTTCCGTATTTAAAAGTACTCTTTGACGAGATTGCACGAATGCCACAGATTACGTTTAATATTCAATGAAACAGGTCAACCTATGAACTTAGTATGAAGTGAATTAATATTACAACTAATTCATTTTATTCAGTGCGATTTTAAAGAATAGCTATTAGGAAAAACTTGGTTAGGTAGGAATCATGAATAAAATAAAAACAATAGGTTTGCTTCTTATTATTTATTGACTATTTTTCACATAATTGTATCATATTGTATTTATTTGTTTAACACATGTATATTGTGTAAATATGCAGCGTCAATGTGTATCAGGTGCTCTTGAATAATTTGGCAGCATGATCCTCTCAGAATGTTGTGGCACAGGTTCACTAGCACTTGGTAATAAGGTCTCTGCACTTTGGTATGTTACGATGGCATATTAGATAGCCGAAATAGTAATAGTTAAATTAAAGGAAAAACAATCGCAAATAAACACACACAACAGATAATCCAAACGAGAATTTTCCGTATTTAAAAGTACTCTTTGACGAGATTGCACGAATGCCACAGATTACTACGAATGCAAACTGCCTGCACCACAACCACAGAGTATAAAGTTTATGCCGGCCCTTCACTTGACAACAGTTTGTCCTTGTCATGCTGAAAAAGAAATGAAAAGGACAGACTGATGTCATGTTTTTAAATAGCAAATACGAATAGCCAAGTGAAGTGCATTAGGAAGAAAGTGTTTTTTTTTGCAGTGCTGTCATAGATTATACACTTCAAATGGTATTTATTGTCTCAGATTATTTATTAACTTTTTAATTTAGCTTACTTAACTGGAAGTGTCCGTCACAATCTAAATACTGATAATTATCACAAAAAATATACTAAGAATTATCATAAATGCCAAATTGGTGTTGGTTCTTAGGCCAATTTTAACATTGTCCTTTACACGCTCGTTAAAATTTAATTCTTTAAAATTCGCAAAGCCCTCGTATGATCGAATTTTTTGCAGATAACCCTTATGATGATATGATAAACAGAGCTTATGATGATATATTATTTTTCCTATTATCCAATCAAGTGAAAGTATCTTGCATCGACAGACCTGTTTATACCTAACAATTTGCAAATTTTTCTTACTATTTTGATGTTGCATTATTAATTTTTTTTATGAAATAATTAAAAATAGTCTGTCCATGTTTTTTTAGCGAACCTATTTTAACAATATCTTTTCTTATATACTAAATTCATGATAAAATATGTTTCATTCTATAATCAGCTCGATGAAGGTCAATTTAGTTTCGGAATTCTGTATTTCGATTATTTGTTTATCGTCATCTTTATTCGTTTCTCTCGACGACCGATGATCAGAAACTCCGGTTTTTGATCTGTTATAGGTATTCACTGTCACTGGCAATGACAGTTTCTTTGAAGAATGGTAGATATTGTTTATGATTCAAATATTAGTTCTCAGCATGAATCTCTTCGATCTTGTATCTGTATAGTATCCTATTCAATCATTAATGTATGAATATGTGTGACTGTTAGCATCCCAAAATAAATAAAATCTGTGCCGCTGTGCAATGTGTTTCTCCCGTATCCCCGTTTAACCCAAAAAATGTGAGTATTCAATAAAATGATAATAAAGTATAATTTTTGTTTCGTTGATTGTGAAAAGTATGTCTAATAGTGTATAAAATCGTAGAGGGTGGGGTTAAGTTATGGATTAAAAATATATAGAGAAAGGATGCTAATTTGGAATACTGTTGGTAATTTGGAATACTGCAATATACAAATTTACTAAAGCGCCATCAATTAACGTATACCAGTTTTACGTAGTTTATGTGTTAGAAAACAAAATTGAGGTGGCTTAGAAGCAGCCATATTGACAGTTCCGTGACAAACTTCATCGGAGTGAAAGTGCTGACGAGAAAATTTTCCAAGTAATACTTGTTACGTTGTTAATCGGCTTGCATCTTGAGTGTGACTAATATTTATGTGTTTATATTTGTACAAATCTTAAGTCTTGACATTATAGATGTCAGTTGTTGAAATCAACACTTATTTTAGAAATTAATCGAAACACAAATTCACAAAAAAAATTAGGTTAGAATTGGCTATGACTCTGGTTGTTACATTTGTGACTATTACAAAGTCTAGAAAAATATAATTGTTTTAATATAAGCTTAAAGTTATTTTTTTTAATTGAAATGCTTTAATTTAAAGCCAAATAAATAAGTATTTCAGGTTAACTATAAGGTGATTGTAATTTGGAATATCCTATTCCAAATTATATTCACTTTTATTAAACCACGCCATTCTGTGATTTCTTAATTAAACCACAATTGATCCTACTTGTGATAATCCAAGGTTGTTAATTACTTTAACTTGAATAAAATATAAGTTCTTCTAACATTAAATGCACAGTGTTCACTTATTTATCTCTTCATCCATGTTTAATACGTTTTTTAAAGTAGTATTCCAAATTTGCATCCTTTCCTTATAGGAATCAATTCCGTCGAAAAAAGAACGTCAACCTTTCATGTTCTTGGGAAACGTAATTTTCTTATATCTTTTTTCTTGCTGATAAACAAAAATATTTTATCCTCGTATTTTTTTTCAATTTGCTTTTAAATGTTTGGTTTAAGGAGAAAGAAATTAATGTTAGAATACAGAATTATAGAAGCGTGATTTTGTCATTCAATATTACTCAAGAAAATTAGTAAGGACCTACTTGAGATTTTCTTTTTAATTACTCCTAATAAAAACTGAAAGAAAGGCAATGAAAGATTTTCTAAAACGTAGTAGCAAAATCATTGAATCTTTCCGGAACAGACTTTTGAAGTTGTTGATAAAAAGTTATTAGTAGGCTTAAATTAGTACCGATTTAGCTTGTATATTCTATTTAAAAAATCTGAATAGAATATTAAAAGAAGTATTTTGATTGCCTGATATAACCATGCTCATAAAGGTATGAGATATTGTCGGTCAGTACAGAAACTCTGTTGTATATTTTTACTAGAGGTGCCCTGTGGTTTCAACCGCATTAATTTGAGGAATAAGGTTATAGTAGGTACCCGAAGGTTAAAATATAGGCATATGCTAACGTAGACTTTTTGATATAATTTTTAAAGGGGAACAATTCCGTCATACTTACATGATTTTTGTTCTTTTACCGTTTACGCAGCGCACGCAACGGAAGTCCTCAAATGGAATATTTTTTACTGTTTTTACAACAACCATAATTGGTGCTCTGCTCATATGTGTCGTAGCGTTATATTTTTTTTTATTTCAAAATGGACCAGGGGGACGATTGCATAAAGGGATTGCTATGGCTACACTATCGCTTATGATTCATTGTGTTATTTCTGACCGCCGAAGATTTTCAAATGCCTCGCGTTCTTTTGCATTAGTAATAATATTATAATGAGCGTGAGCTATTTGAAAACCTTCAGTGGCCAGAAATAACAAAATGAAATCGTAAGCGGTAGCGATAGCCATAGCAATTCCGTTAGGCAATTGACCCCCTGTTGTTACTTTGGTTCGTTTCGCGTTTAACCAATGAAGCAAAATCCTCAGCTTTATAATTCAAACAATATGCTGATTAGCGAAAAGTAAACGGATGTAAACAAAAATTATAACCTGGACGAGATGGCAGCTTCTTAAGAATTATCGAATAACAGATTTCAGAGATAGTCTCGACACGCCTAGTGCTGCATACAATAGGGATGTTGAAGGGGTAAGGCAAACGAAATTCTATTTAGTCCTTCAGTAAGACTCTAACTAATAGAATTTAAACTATCGAAAAATAAATTAGACTCATTTTTTTTCTTTTGTCAATCATCCAGAAAGTAGTAAGCAAGGAAAAAGGAAATTACAAAGATAAAGCGCGTCAAAGTTTGAGAGTGGTGCCTCGTGACGTCACTTTTTAGTATAAAGTTACGAAAACGTGACATGTGTAAGTAGTAACTGTTTATTTGAAACACTGACGATCAATCAAATTTGTTGAAGTATGAACGCAGGTTTTATTATAGAAAAGTACTTTCGAATGAGTTCTCTATGTTAAAAATAGAGTCTTCATCCTATAGGCGCGTTATTATCGGCAAAGCACGTTATGGTAATAGAACGGCTACGAATTTACACACTGCTGCGACAAAAACGTTGCAATAGTTGTGTGGCACACCATCGCAATAACACATCCGGTATTAACCACCGATAAAAATGCGTCTATGGGGTTAAGGCCAATTATCCATATTTCAGTAGTTACACATCTGCCATACAACGCTTTATCTTTGCTTGATTTCAAATTTTTCCTATCGGAACAGATTTTTATGAAAATTAACAAAGAAAATTATACCTGTTTCAATTTGTTCCCCCTGAGACTGAGCACACGAAAAGTTGTAAACCACTCGGACCCTTCCAGTTCTTTGACAGCAGGGATGCTGTTGTTATCCAAATACAAATCTGCCAGTTTCTTGTATAAAGGATTTTGAATTATAGCCCTTATAGAGCTTATCTGTGGACAAAAATTCAGAAGTGTAGTTATACTCTGAAACCACAAAGGTAGGAAGTTATATACCTTCATTGAGTTATACCGATACCCCAAGCACGAACTTTGACAGATTCGAAATCGTATCGTCATCGTCAATGTTGTATGGAAGGAGTCAGTTTATTCCTACGTTCGGTTGGGACCGCCTTGTAATTATTATAGAAACTTTGACGATGCGATTCGATTACGGAGCTGTCAAGGTTTGTGCTCAATGCTTTTGTTCTCAGAACAATAATTATGTCCTCAAAATAACAGACTTTAGCCTGTTGCCATCGAATTTTAACGGAGCGGGTAAATATCTATAAATTATTGGTTGTGAGTCATGAATGTCATTAGCTGACTGTTATTTAATAATCTGACTTACCTTTCCTAAATACTTTGTTCCTGCAGGTCTTAAATTACGACATTGCAGTTCGTCTGATCTGAATACATATTAAAATTCATTGAAACCTAATTGAAACCGGATATAATGACATTGAAGATACCATATAACTTCGGACGTTATGTCCGATACTTGTTATAAGCAATGGTGTCTATTCAGGCATGATTCTCTAGACATAAAACTAAATTTAACTTCCGTCTCTCCTTTTCATTCTCTGTATAAAGAATGACAAGGATACACACTATTGTCAAGTTTAGGTTTAGAGAACCATCTCAGAATCGACACCAATAAACACAAGTAGTCATATTAATTGTAATTAATTGTATGTACTTGTTTTTAAATAAAATTTCGAAAACAGAAGTGAAAAAGTTTATTTTGAAAAAAAAAATAAGATCCTACGATATATTTCGTTTTGCTGGAACAAGTAAAACGGTTGGTCGTTATAGCCAATGAATATCGATATAGTTCATACCGATATTAAGTTAACTACTTCTAATCTCTTATCGTATGTTAACTACCTATGTAATATTCTCGACAATAGAGGCGAAGTTCATGCTGTGTACACAGATTTTAGAAAGGCTTTTGACCTTCTGTATCATGACCTCTTACTTCAATAGCTAGAATACATGGGTGTGCACGGATCACTCTTGAGATGGTGCAAGTCGTACTTGAGGAATCGATCCCAGTTGGTTGCTATACACGAATATAAATCTAGAACTAGGACTATATTCTTAGGTGTACCATAAGGGTCTTGAGACCCTTATTTTTTCTAATATTTATCAATGATATTGCTGGAGTAATAAGATCCAAATTCAAACTTCATGCCGACGATCTAAAAGTATACAGAGCTGTAAACACTTTAAACGATATAATCCTTCAGTCAGACATAAATTACGTAATATAATAGTATGGACGCAACGGTATGGAACTTTTTAATGTCAGGCATCGTAGTGCCACAATGAGGTAGTGTAGGTGGCAGTGCATTGCAATCACTGATTCGGGAGTTAGCCGCAAAGAGCTTTGCCAACAAATCGGCTTTCTCTCGCGGCTCATAAGCTAGTGACCCATCTGGACATCGCAGAGGTGGCAGCGAGGGCTGGCAAAAGTTGTGTTGCACGGCCTTAGCCAAACGCCAAAGACTACGGGAGCCCGTAGGGTGCGTTAACAATTCGTGGCCAGTACGTGCTACACGTTGGGCATCCGCTCTGATGTAAGCCTTCTTACAAGACTTGGAAGCACTATTATAGGCAGCTTTCAGTGAGTTAACCCCGGGATCCTTAAGAGCGCGGCCTCTGATCCAAGCGCGATATGCCGCCTGCTTACGAGAAACAGCATCGGCACAATCGCGATTGAACCAGCGGTTACGTGTGCCCTTACTGATGAGATCAGAATGTGGAATGTAATTCTCCATTCCCATTACGATCTCCTCAGTAATGGCAACGGCGCTGGATGATAGGTCCTTTTCATTGAAGCAGCGCTGCTTTCAAGGGACGGACGCAAAGTAATCGCGCATACCATCCCAATCTGCCGACCCATAGTGCCAGACCCTGCGTTTGACCACTAATGGTCGAGGAGTTTTGGCCTGTGGCACCTTGACAGATATCAGGCAATGGTCTGATGAACCCAGTGGGGCTCGAACCACAACCTGATACTCCTGCGGATGGGTCGTAAGCAGAAGGTCTAGTAAAGAAGGCGATTGACTTGCTATATGTGGGATCCTGGTGGGCTGATCAACCAGTTGGGTCAAGTCATGCGTGAGAGCGAAAGCATGGGCAGAGATCCCTGCATGGTCAGTTTTGGAAGAGCCAAGCCACAAACCGTGGTGGGCGTTAAAGTCTCCCAAAAACACCAGTTCTGCGTTGGGAAATTGCGCCTGGGCATCATCTGCTACCCTACTGAGGTGGTCAAACAGTCGAGTTGTCTCAGCGTCGCCGGTGTGAGATCTGTAGAGGCACACGTAGACTCTGGCCTGAAGACCAGAGTCTACATGTACCGCCAACATGGAAAAGGAGGGGTCTTCCAGGCAGCTCAAACGGCGACAACAAACATCCGCCCGAACATACAGTCATACGCCGGCTTTTGCTTTGAAGGATTCTTCGGGTCGGCACACCGAAGATGGATACCACCCCCGCACAAGACCCTACCCCCTCGCGCTAAGTCCGTCGCCCGCTCGCTGGTCGCTCACTGGGCCTCCCCCACGGGTCTCACCCGGTGGGCTTGACCGCGGCGAGGGCGACGCGTGAAGACGCGGAGGGGGGTAGACCCTCATGGACCGTCCCGTACGTATACGGGACGCGAACCCGCAACCTCTGATGTGGGCACTCAGCCCAGAGCAGACTCCCCGCACGTCGCGCTTCGCTTCAAGCGCGTAGCCGGAATATTTAAGGTAGCCTGTGTCAGCGGGTGGAAGTATTTGTGTCTCCGTGAGAAACAATAGTGCTGGCCGTGCTGTCTCAAGATGGTGGTGGACAGCATTGACGTTAGAGTGGAGTTCGCGTATATTACAGAACTCAACCTCAAACAGCGCGGAAGCGGTGGGGGTGTGCACCGCTGTACAACCAAACTTTATTTTACGGGCTGCCATCATGAGAAAAAAGTTGAGAGACGTGAATCGAGTGGAGTTAGTTGCGACAAAGTCAGGAAAATATGTGGAGGCACGTTTTCCCGAGTAACTGCCTGCGAAAGAGATACGCCGACCCAACGGACGGAAGGGCCCCCGCACCCTCCCGGGAGTGGCCGCCGGGACCCCACGCCCCGGTCACCAACCGGCACGACGGTCCACCCCGAGATTATGCGTGACATGATAGGGCAGCCTCACGAACTGGTTAGGAACGCTCGGGCCCCTGTACTGTGCCACGAGCGGCCAGCGGGACAGCCGTTTCTACGGGTCTCCCTGGCCGGTGGGTCGATGCAGTCCTCCCGGCATCGGTTCGACGGATGCCTCCACTGGACCGAATCTGTCGCGGCAATCTCCACTCGAGCTCTGGTTGTACGCTGGCTGATCCCGAAACGCGCGTGAAGCACTTCACGGGGTTTTCACCATGCGTACGGTGGTAACAAACCAGGCGGGTGTTAGCCACCCTACCACCTCCACCAGCATTGATTGCGGCAATGCTGGCGGATGAGGGAGGTTGGAAGGCTGCGGTCTCCTTCTGTGAAGCGGTGATGCTCCAGAAGGAGGCCGCCGAGCGGGATCGGGAGAGGGCCGATCCCGCTCGAAGAAGGCGGCGTCGGGTCAGATAATGTCCTGATGTGCCGCTGCGGGTCGCTGGTGAGCACGACAGAGCTCATGGAAGTGACCTGGGAGGGACGACACCCCCGCATGGCCGGGGGGTGTCGTCGTAGGAGGGTGGATGGGGGAGGTTGCGAACACTCCCCCGAGAAGAACTCCCCTGGAGGAAGCAGGGGAACAAAGGCTGCGGGTCCTCAGATGCGATACTCGATCCTGAGGCCCCGTACAATGCCTGATGGCGGCCATCGCTGGGGTTTTAGTGGGTAGGCCTCCCCCTTCTGGGGAGGAGAGCCCCACATAACCACCATGTGGTATGCAATTTAATGTATTTCCCCAGCGTATCAAAAAAAAAAAAGGCACCCTACCACCAGAAGAGCAGATGGAAGCTCTGATAGCCCTCAGTCGCTTCTTACGACACCCGCTAACGCTCTGAAAACGGATTATCTAGTCCAAAATATCTAGAAATTAGTCTATGTTCGTTTTTTATTTTTTGATAATGTATAAGCTCTTGATCCTTTATAAAGCCCGAGAACAGAGATGGGATCTCTACGGTTTTAGCGAGTTTACCCATCCGGTAATAAGCCTAATTAGAAAGGAGACCTTTATGTACTACTTATGTAGCTAGGCGTGGATTTTAGTTACGTCATAGCTAGCTTGAGTTACGTTGGATGTTTTAATGAGTGCCTTAACATAGTTGAACCACGTTAAACTGAGTTTTATCTAACAGTGGATTTATTCAAGGAAAGTTACGTATTGTCTGCTTATAGGCACGTAAACTGAGATGACAATTATTGATTGTGGTTTTTGTGAGTTTCTTTACGGAGATTAAATAGTGAAACTATTTTTGGATTGGATGGTTACAAAATATACTTATTACCTGCGTCTTTTGGAGACAATGTTTTAAACAAATTACTTAAAAAAAATCGCCATAGCCGCTTTTATCGGAAATTTTCTATATCTTGTATCATCCATTATATGTATAGAATACGTAAATCAGACTACATGACTGAGGAGAAAAAATATTTTTAGTGTTTCGTAGTATAAACCTAGGTATTATTATTCTATTCATCAAAGGTCATTGTTAACGCTTTACGATTTTTTGTCACTGTCAAGGCTTTGTATTTTTCAAAATTCAAAACCATTTAGTCAGTCTAGGCTGAAAGAAGCACTTGTTAAGGTCGAAAAGCTACGCCATCGGTTCGCAAATCTACTAAGCCAATTGTATTGTAATATAATTGCTTGTTTATAATAACGGTTATTCAAGATCTATTTAACAAAACAACAATAAAAGATCTACGGAACCCTACACTGTGTGTGGCACGACACTCACTTGGCCGGTTTTGAAGCCGGAGC